TTTTATCAAAAATCAGTAAAGGGCTCAATTCCATAAACTTTAATACTCTCTTAATTTTAATTTACAGAAAAGACAGTAGAATAAACAAACTGCCTGTTAGGAATGAGAATATTTTGAGGCAGATGAAGAACAACAGGTACCCTGACTTCGTTCATTTCACTGCGGCCCTTTTCAGAAAGGGGTATTTGACTAACATTTCTCAGAAAGCTGGAGGCGGACACTAAAAATGGAAAAACACGACTTAACTCACCAGAATTCAACCAGTTTATTAATAACTCAAAAGTGGTGAAAAACAAGAAGCATTGTGCAATGGTAAAAAGGGGTTGGAAAGCATTTAGAAATAGCCAGATTTAAGGTTGTGTTATCTACCATAAAGACCACTGAAAATTAAACTAGCCAAGGAAATGTAGTCTCCCCCTACTAGACTTTGAGAACTTCACTATTAGTCTCAGAAAAACAGCACGTAGAGCCAACCTCATAAACATGAGAAGTTAACAGCTTCAGGATCTAACTCTACCAAATACATGCCCGTTGCTGAAAAGCAGCACGTTTATTTCTAACACAGAAAGTTAAATTGCAAGACAGTTTCTCATTTATCATGTTAATCTCTCTTTTGGTTCTTCACAGAACTGTCTTACTTTGTTCTCATTTTGTAGTCTTCCCCCCCACAGTAAAAGCCAGTAGTCCTGTTAGAAACCAGGTCTTACCTTAACAGAAAATACTGTTCCTCCTTTGGGCGTGAAAGAATTAAACAGAGCCAGCAAATCCTTAGCCTTCAACCTATCCCAATCCATATTACAAACTGCCAATCTGCTTGTAATCTGAACAGAGAGGAAAAAAAAAAAAGGACATAAAGTTCACAGGTTTCATTCTTGACTGCTATGGGGACTACACAATTCTCTAGCAACTACCCTTGGTAAAAATTGAAGTCAGCAACAACTCTGCTGAAAAAAAATAAAAGAAGCATTTTCCTCAAGAGTTTGTATCACTTAAGCTAGCGAAGGTCAGAAGCAGCCACCACTGGAGCAGATAAAAAGGACATATATAGTGAAGCACCACAGAATGGACTGCACCGACCACAGATTTAGGAGTGCAGTTACAACATCAGCACTTAGGATTTTGTTATCATCATATGGTTAGTCACAATAGCAACTAGTATCACAGTATTATAACAGCACTAGAGTACTGCGATTTCTTATACACTAATTGTGCTCAGTTTTAAGGTCCTACTTCATTGTCTAATGATTTCAAACCCAGTAGTGAACCAAAGCAGTACTATTTAAATTCTGGAATTTCTGAAAAGCTCAACTCTGTTCTTTCACTTACAGATAGCTTATCTATCTATAGGTAAGCCTCCGCTTAGAGGGAAGGGGAGACACCAGTGAAAATTGCGAGTCTCTCATTCTCAGCCAGTTTCATCATCACTTGCATTCCGTAACTAAAAGGCTGAAAAACCTTTATGAAAAATACTTTCACAAACTGTTTCATAGATGAAGGTCTATAATGAACTCGTAACTGTACATTTCCGAGTTTTTCATGTAGCAACTTTTCACATGCAAAGTAGTGTTACCTCATCTCCACGAGGGGCATCTTTATCCAGCTCACGCCACGAATGCTCTATCTCTGGCTCCTTTGGAAATAGTTCATTTAAATCCTCATCCTCTGAGCTCGTTTCAATGTTCCCTATGCCTCTAGCTAGATCAGGCCCACTATCGCTTTCTTCATCATCTTCTGAATCGCTATCTTCTTCGCCCGTTTCCCCGTCATCTTCTGGCTCCTCTTCCTCGCCCGTTTCCCCGTCATCTTCTGGCTCCTCTTCTTCCGATTCTGCATACTCAGAACCATCACTTGCAGAAATTTCTTCCTCTAATTGGCTTTTACTAATGTCACTTCGATCACAGGTGTCTGTGCATACAGTCACTGAAAGATAAGTATTAGACATCTATTTTTATGTTGGAATTACATACGATCCTTTACAAAGAGGAAAAAACCTCAGGTTTTCTTCATACAGATTTACAGAACCCCTGAAATGTGTAACGATGCAGGAACAAATTACATCAGGGAAGTGCAAACAACATAAATCATCAGTATCGCCTCTTCAGCTTGTCTAGTCTAATCTAATCGCTCTTTAAGCCCACAACCTCAAACTCCAATGAAATATTATTCTGTTAGTCTATTTATATGTATATAATCAACAGGTAGAAATTAGATTTCAATAATGTAGGCTATACACATGCACAAGCAATATAAGGAAAGTTTTTCAAGTAACCTGTTCTCTCTAATGCCCTCTAATATTAATGGCTTGATGCTGCCATCCTTAAGCTTTCAGCCAACAAGCGTTGATATGCTGAAGCCTTCATGGTCTCAGACCTTATATTTGCTATTCAGTTTGATAAATACAGTCGTGTATACGCTACTATACATTTTACTTTTCTAACTAACCAACAATTTCAGCTCCAGCAATTAAAAGGACATGGATGTTCACAATCTTACTGAAGAACCAGCACTGATTCTATAAAGAGCTGACCAACTCCTATTCTTCAGCAACACTGAATCCGAGTCAGTCAGCTATTTCACGACTGATCTTGCCAAAGATCTGCCGTGGATAAAACAAAAGCAACAACATCCAAGTAAACACAGCCGAGTTCTACTTGTTATTTGAACAACTAACCTGATTCTTTTATCTTTCCTGCTAGGGTATGGTCCCTCCCGGGAGTTTTAACCGATTTAGTACCGCTTCGTTGTGAAGACTTTTGCTTGTTTTCAGTTGAAACTGATCCTCCTCCTGACGCATCTCCTTGCTTATTTTCCCCTTCGTGTAAAAGGCCCTTGCTTCCCTGAGAGCAATCAGTTTCTGTTGCAGTTTTCTTACAGTCCTCTTTCAAGTTGAATTTAGATGAAATTTTTTGTCCCTCATTTTTAAGGTCATCTCGTTTTGTCACCGCTTCACATGTTTGGTCCGCCCCTTGTTTGTTTATTTTGCTCTCCTCCCTAGGGAGACCATCGGCAAGTAGTTTTGGAGAATCTGCTTCTCTTTTAGATTTCGCTTTTTTTTTCTTTATTTTCTTTTCTGTATGTTCTTTACTGTCATTTTCTGAAAGATCAGAGTCAGATTCTGACAGGGCATAAAATTTCCTGAGGTCCTCTGTAGAAGTATAGTTAACAGGGCGACCTCTTTTATCCACTGTATATTTCAGCTTAAACTTCTTGTCATGAAACATAGCTCGGAATCGTTTGTCAATCTTGATTTTACGTTGTTTTTCGGGCATCTCCCAAAATCTGGGATCCCTCGTAATGCAGCTAAACCGCCCATCGCTCAGTATTTCCTCCTGGGATGACATTTTTGATGCTGTTGAAGACTTGGACATCTACAATATGGAGAAAAAAAAAAAAACCACCACACTTCTGATTTAAAAAAAAAAACAACTGATTAACATAGACTTAGATACGTAATTGAAAAAAAAAAAAAATTAAGCAAAGTCAGATTTCTAACCTATACCTAGAAAGTTCTTTCCAAAAGCACATATGGCAATTTAAATGATTCACAAATAATCCTGTAGTTACCACAGTCTTGACCACACATCTTAGCTTCCTCTGATAGCGGATATATACAGCTATAAAGACCATACCGGCCGCAGATACAGCCTTAAATGATCCCCTATCAGTCCCGGACGCGACCTCGAACAGTTCCCCTGTCAGCCAGGCCTCAGACTCGTACTTCCCACAGGACTGAGGCATTCCGCATTTTAAAGCGCCAGCTGGGAACGAAGTCAACAAGAGCACGAGTGCTTCGGCGAGCTCAGGCCGGCGCCACCGGCAGCTCCGGCGCAGGCCGAGGCCCAGCAGCAGCCCGGCAGCACCAGAGCCTTCCCCGAGGCGCCCGCTGCCC